TGGTCCTTGTCAACCCAGGCCATTCTATGATTCTGTGATTCCATCACCTCCTTTCAACTCTCATCTCTAAAACTAAACTAAAATAAAACCAGCTGAAAGTGCCGTTGTGCTTATTGCCATTTAAAAATAATACAAAATTATGCAAAGCCAATACAGCCCTACTTAAAGAAAAGAGTTAATAATGACTATGACTGAGCTTTTTAGGGCTGAAAATATGTCAGTTTTCAGAATTGTTACCCATTCGAACTCTCAGAAACATTGGAAATGCCCTGAGGGGAACCCAGTCTGTTGTGCACATACTATTCAAATGTATTTTTGTAAGAGCAGATTGTGGTTTTGTTTATTTAGAGCTTTTTCTCCTTGCATATGCTTCACTATTTTGGGTTAGTCGATGAAATATTACTGCCTTTAGCCTACTGTACCGCTGTTAGTTCCCCTGGATGCTGTGTTTCAGGAGCATTGGGAAATAGCAGCTCATCTGGATCAGGAGGAAGAAGAGCCCTTTGTTACATCTTTCAATGCTGGGATGAAAGGTGATGGCCTCAGGTTGCTCCAAGGGTGGGTTGGGTTGGATATTAGGAAACAGTTCTTCTCCAAAATGGTGGTGATGCATTGGCACAGGGGGTGGAGGAGTCACCATTCCTGGAGGAGCTCCGGAGCAGAGGAGATGTAGCACTGAGAGATGCACTCTGTGGACATGTTGGGGTCGGGCTGGGGTTGGATTTGGGAATCTGAGACATCTTTTCCAACCTTCTATGATTCAGAACCAGAGCAGCATACAGGGACGAAGATCAGCATTCCTGGGTCTAATTTCTTATATTTCAGGCATAACTATGGCAAGGACTTGGCTTAGATCTTTAAGATCCCTTCCAACCCCACCACTCAATGATTTTAATATTTTTGACTCACATGGACACTTTTGGGAAGCTCTGTGTTCTGTGTGCAACCAAATTCTGTCCTGGTTTACTTGGATGAAAGACAAATTCGTGGAAGGAAATCAAATGACTGCTACTAAAGTGGTGATAACCAGGTAGTCTCCAGGGACTCTCTAGAACAAATGTTCCCAATAAAGCAGCAAATGATTTTACAGAAGGGGGGAAGAAAATGAATTAAGGGAAGAAAACAAGTTAAAAAATAAACAGGACGTTACTTTGCTTCAAAACTTTGCCAAAGTAGATCCTAATTAAATCCTGATTAAATCAAATGCGTGGATACGCCTGTATCCAAAACACAACTTTTCCTATTACCCAGCTATCTACACAAGGAATAGCGTTATGAAAGCCTGTGCTTGCACCACACTTGAAAAGACTCTGCTGGAATTTGAGAAGTGGTTTAAAGCAAACAACAAAACCATCCCCAGCACATGACAGTAATCAGTAGCAACTGCCCTTGTCTGAGTGATCAACACGAGCAGCTGCCGCTAACTTGTCTAATTACCACTTTCACAAACCATATATTATTTTTAATGAGAAAGCAGAAGGTTGGAGGGAAGCTTTCATGTTCAGGGCTGTTTCAACCCAGAGGAGATGGTGTTACCTTAAAGCCAAAATCACCTCCTTCGAAATGGCTTTGGAAATCCACGGGACTTAGACGGCGTTTGTGCAGCTATTCCCGAAGGTTTCTTAGATAAAGCTGTCACTGAGTTTCATCGAAAGGAATTAAAATCAGCTTTATTTATTTATTTTTTAATAGAAAATTTGGAGACTAATCCTCGTTCCTTGTTGCTCATGATGGTTCAAAGTCTCTGCTGTCATCTTGGTCAAGGAATCAAGCTTAGTCTGATTGCCGTCAGCTCTACTGAAACGTGGGGCTGGGCTCTACCCACACAGCCCTACAGAGGAACAACATGAACACGTGGCCCCAGCCAACAGCTCCCTGAGCTCGGAAGGGAAGAGATTTGCTGCTAAGAAAGGATTAATTTTCTGAGTCATCAAAATCTCAATTGAGTTGCAGGAAAAAGAACTGAAGACAGAACATGGCAGTGAAATAGATAAGGAGGGAATCTATCATCAACTCCCTCAAAGGTAGGGAGTGCTTTCTTAATTCTTATTTAATGGCACTGTTCCTCATGTCAATAGCTCAGTTACAGAGAAATTAGAGGCTTTGCCCATCTGCATGCTGGAACAGAAGCTGGAAATGTTCTTTTAGAGTAACTCAGAGGCAGAAAGGAGCAACCCTATGTTTAATGCAACGATTTCACTTGAAGAAACCATGCCCTACTCTTTGAAGAACTCTGTGGGTAGCTACTCACTGCCTGCAAAATAATCCAGCCTGACTTCTCTGGGAACGGGGAAAACCTTCTGAAGTAGACGTGCTTTCTGCACAGCGCAAAACGCCTCCGAGACATGGAAAAGAGCTCAGCCACCATGTCACACCAGGCCTGAATCACAATAAGTGTTCCCATTTTTCAAGTCAGACACTCTTGGAAGCGTTACATTCCCCAACAAACGCAGCTCGGGGTCTCGGCATGAACTCCAGAGCTGCCTGATTTAAGCATTGCAGGAGCAGGCTGCTTGTGAAAGACACTTCATCACCGTGTCCCCAAGCTGCTTTCCCAGTGTGCCTACACTTGTGTGTCCACATATGCTTTATCACTTCCCCTCTCCCTCTGCCAGCCCTCCACCACCAGTCTGTGCTTTGAACTTGAGACTGTCTATGAGCTTAGAGACATAGAGGGAACCCCAGGAAAAAAACACACTAATTTGAGGTAAGGTCACCTCATTCCATGATGCTTACAAAGCTTTGATACCATTGGGAAAGAACCCAGAGTATCCCATCCCATGACAGCAGAGGGAATTTTTGGACATAAGACAGAGAAGAACTTCAGCAGAGGTCTCCAAGCCCAGGTGACTACCAAGTGTGGATAAATTCAAGTGCCAGATCAAAAACCCAAACGTTAGCAGTGGAAGGGACCTGAATGACGTGTTAATTGGTGGACTTAATCTGATTTCCATCTTCTCTCAACTTCTGGAGAGGCCTTTATTCTGGAGGCTGTTGCTGCTGGATGGAGGGCACCCAGTTTGGTGCAATGCAGATCCACGTGGGGTGCTAAACTTTGATGCCTCCAAGCTGAAACCATGGAATATCTATTGGCTAAATTGCTGGACACTCAAAAACTCCAAAACCAGTTATTTTTTTGACTGGCATTTAAAGTGAACCCAAAGAGGGTGAAAATCCAGAGCAGAGCAGTTGAGTGATCTGTTCCAGAAGCAATTTCAAACCTCTTGGATGCTCCAGGCAATGGAGCCAAACCCATCTTTGAGTGCCTAGGCTGGGCACAGCTAGAGTGTTGGACGCATCTGGAGTGGGAGGTTGTGGCTGATAATCCAACATTTGACAAAGCCAATGTTTTTGAGGGCAGATACTGGAGTGGAGATGTCACTTCTGCAGTGCTTGAGATAAATCCACCCCCAGAACTAAATAAGTGGGAGAACTGGGTAAGAAACAGACAGGCTGAGTGTTTATCTGTTGAAAACTGAATTTCACTGAAATGCTTTGGGGAAAGGTATCATTATATACTATCTGTTGGGGTTTTTAGAGAGGAAGGCAAAGCACTTTGATGATGTCGAAACATTATGACAATATCATAATGGAACATTTCAATTTCTCATTTTGAAATACTCTTATTTTGCTAAGCCATTTTACAAATACCACTGAAAGAATGATTAACAGTAAATATCAGCAGGCAATTTTTAGACTTTTTTTTTTTTTTTTTTAATTTATAACAGAGATCTGTTTAGATTAATTCTACTATGGAGCTGTCATCAAAACTGGTATTTTCTGAAAATGGCCTTTGCTTCGCAACTGTTCTGAATTTGTTTTTTTTTCTTGCATGTGTATACGCAAGAAATGAAGCTGCTTTGGCTTTGACCTGCACTGCATGCATGCAGCCCTCCCCTCCCCTACGACTCCCATTTCTCTATGAGCTGCTGCTCAGGGAGCTGGAAGAGTCACAGTCCACGGAGGAGGTCAAGAACCATGGAGATGCAGCACTGAGGGACGTGGTCTGTGGGCATGGTGGAGTGGGTTGAGGTTGGACTTGGGGATCTAAGAGGTCTTTCTCAGCCTTAATGATTCTATATGTAAGTGCAGCCTATTATTTGTTTGCCATCAGATGGAGAACCCGCATGGAACAACCATTTCTCCTCTCACATTCCTACCCTCGGAGCAGCCCAGACTTTCTACAAGAAGCTGTTTTCAAGGCTGGTTTGTGCCATGCATAACTTCGGTGCTGCCATAGGGTCCTGATTTCCAAAATAATCCCTTTGCAACTGACTAAAGGGTTCTAAAATGCAAGAAACATCTCAGTGAGCAGAGATCATTGGACTACTTGCAGCCATTGTCATCACTTCTTCCTGCTGCAGAAATGCCAAAGTGAACATTCTGGATGCTTGCATTTCTCACATGCTGCTGCTCTCAGGATTTAATCTGTGCTTGTCACAAGAACTGACTCTTTTTCCCTCTGCAGCAGCAGCAGAGTCGCTCATGGGCTGTGCTCTGTTCTCCATTTGATGGATGAAAAATATAAAAGCAAAAAGTTTCTTAATACAAGAGCCAACTACTCATGCATCTGCACCTTGGGATGAATCTAGACATTCCAGTATTGGGTTTGTCCCAAACAGTAAGATGGGGAATTGAAATTGTAACGTTTTATTTTCCCTTTGTGGAACAGAGTACCAAAAACAATTTCAATTTGGAAATGCCAAATGTCACTTGTCAGGTGAAATATTCTCTCACTTCCGACGCCAACAAGGAGGGATCTTGTTCCCAGGCACAAGGGCTTGTATAATGTAACCCACAACTCCTGGAAGGAGATCCAGGTCCCTGCAGCACACAGGATTTCACCACCCCAGCAACGTCCTGCCCTTGGGACTGTGCTCTCTGCTTCTGAGCCAGACACTAAATCCTACCAGGCAAAGAAAATAATTCCATGCTACTAGTGGCCTGGCTTTGCAAACCCTGCTTATGATTATCAGACAAAATAGCACGAGCCCCCAGAGCAGGCATCTTGTCAATAGGGCTGCCTGCCTGGGGACTGAGTGCACCTTTCATGTTCAGGAGCATCTGAATCTCACTCGTGTTATCTAAAAGGGGGTTATAATGACAACAATTACGTCCATCTTAGACCAGGGAAACAAAGTGATCTTACAGCACTCTTAGTAGTGGAATAGAGAGGAATGCATCAGTAATTTTGCTATCCTTTTCTAATGTGTTCTTTCAACAAAAGCTCTCACAGCTGTTTATGCTCATTACATAAGAACACCTCCATGACCTCCTGCGAAAAGAAAGAGAAATTAAACTGTTTTACTTTTTTTGTACTGTGGAAGTGGGCCTGAGAAGAATAGGGATCAACAACCCTGAGGTCACCATAATGCGGAACACATGTAAGGAAATTTGTCCTGCATTTCTGACTCAGAGGGTGGTGAGGCACTGGAACAGGTTGCCCAAGGAGGCTGTGGATGCCCCATCTCTGCAGGCATTCAAGGCCAGGCTGGCTGTGGCTCTGGGCAGCCTGGGCTGCTGGTTGGTGACCCTGCACATATCATCTGCTTTCAACCCCCTGCTCATTGTGGTCCTTTTCAACCCAGGCCATTCTATGATACACTATGATGCTATGATTCTCCATCAGTGCATCCAATCACTTTTAACAGTTTTGACCTGAGTCCTGACTGAGGCTACTGCCAACATTTTGCTCTTCCAAGCTACAAGCCCTTCCAGTACAGGAGCACCAGATGATAGATAGAAGCAATTCAGATCTTCAAGTTTGGGTAAAAAAGCTATTTCCTGAAGCTGGGCTGCCATAAGTAACTCTTTCCTGTGCTCATTGGCATTCTGAGAATGGGAGACTGGCAGAGCACACCTCTCCCATCTGCCAGAAGGCTGAAGGGTGAAAGAAGTGCAAGTATGTGAATGGCTGTGGGTATCTGCAGAGCACAGGGATGACAGAAGGACTGTTGGGTGGAAGAGCTGACAATTTTCTAACTATGGAGTAGAATACTTCTGTACTCCCAAGTCCTCTGTACTGGGAGGCTATGATTGAGTGTGGACACATGGCTTTGGGACAGCTGGTGTGTCAATCACCACAGTGGAGAAAGCCCAGTATCAAGATAAGACCAAATTCTCCAGGAGAATCTAACTGTGCAGTTTTCTTCCCATCCTTGTTAAGCTCCCTGATTTATGCCTTGTAATAAGCACAAGTGGTCAAGAATCTTTCTTTCTTATTAGCAATTCTAAGTACATCAGAAGTAAATTTTTTAAATCCTAAGCAAAAACTAAATGACCATAAAGTCTGCATCCACCTCCCAAGAGACAGTTCTGTTTCAACGTGACAGCTTAATTAAAAGCTCAGCAAATTGTCTGCAACAATTTTAAATAAACAATCTTTGTGGATAGCATTTGGGGGAGATGGCCTCACTGCAGAAGTGGTTGGAAGTCCCCATCCCTTGGTGACTTGGGCAGTAACTACAGTCAGGGTGGACAGAGGGGACCTGGGGCCAGAAGAACCCTTCTCTAGTTTTTGTGGGTTTTTTTTTTGCTTGTTTTATTTTGTTTTGTTTTTTAGGGACAGTGACACATCCCCTCAGTTATCCTCAGTAACATCAAGTCCCTTTTCAGGATCAGGATGCAGAAGGAAAACATTTGGTTTCGAAACCATCTTCTGTTCTCTCTATTTTGAAACAAAATACCCCTTGGCCACTCAAATGAAGTGTTTCATTTCAGAAGAAATGCAACACTTCATTCAATACCAAATGACTGTTCTTTTCCGTCCAAAAGAGCCGGTGAACCAAAAAATTGGTTATTCCCTCACCTCTCCTTGTTCCCTATCTCCTAAGCCAATGGCCCTTCTATAACTCAATCCAAATCCACATTGCCATCCCCTTTCCCATGCACTGAGTGCACACACACTCAGGTCACAGTGCGTGAACTGCTTTGTGTTCCATCCCCACCACAGCACCGAACCTTCTGTCAGTTATTTGGCCATTAGATTCTCCCTTTCTCTTAACGTTGGATCACAGAAGGAGGTCAGGGAGCTCAGAGCTGCTCCTTCCCCATGGCATTAAGGGACTCCAGGGACTCAGGACCTTTGCCCAGGTCCGAGTTTAAAGCTCCCCAAGCCCAGGATTGGGGCAGTCCTTGTGCAGCAGCACTTTCCCCTCCCCAACACACTGGGGAGGTCAGGAAACCTCGCTAAGATGTTTTCTGTGCGCCAGCTTCAGCCCATTGCCTTTGATCCATCTCTTCTGCTTTTTTTTCCACCCCCTCTGCTCTTTTGAGCAGCCCTCAGTGCTCAAAAAAAAATGAAAGACAGAACTATTTTCAAATCTCTTTTGTAGAAGGTGCCACTCTTCCCAAAGCCCTGCTGAGAAATCAAACTGGAGCAAATGGTTTTTCCAAACCTCCTGAACTCTTTACACTCTCCAAAGTTGCAAAAAGCCACTTTTCCATCCATTTCAACTTCGTTCAGACTGAAGTGTGTGAAGTTTACACATTTTCTACCTGTTTATACCTTAAGAGTCATGAAAACCTGTGGTCACGTTGGATATAAATGAACCAGCCATGTTACTGCACATCTTCACTCATGAGAGAAGGCACCTTATGGCTCATTCACAAAAGCATCAAACAGTCACTGATGACAAAAACTAAAGCAGAACATCACCCACAGCACTGCAATGCTACTACAAGTCAGAAAATCTCCTATCTTAATCTCCTATTCAAGCACAGTGCTATGGAGCAGCACATATTCATGGGTTCATGTACTAAATCCAAGCTACCAGTCACCCCAGACCTACAGTACAGCCTCCCATATAACTTAGGTTGCAGAACACCTTCCCGTATCGTGCCCACCAACCTGTGAACATGAAGATGAAGTTTCTTGCAAGAACTGGTTCTCTGGAAAGAAGTCATTCAGCAAAGATTTATGAATTGCAGATGACGCCATCGGAATCAACTTGCAAATGATTTACTAAACTGAAACGGGGCTGAGTTCATAATGGATGTTACTCCAAACAGTAAGTTTGACTGGTGCTATATATTTCATCTGTTGGACATAAAAAGGCATTTGCTGTAATGCAGGAAAATACAAGTGTTAAGTGTACTTTCTCTTTTTCCCCACACATGCACTTGTGCTTAAGAATTCTTCTCAGCTGCTGGGACTGAGATTGATAGCAGCCTTGCTGACAGCTTCACTAACACCAATTCAGTGTCGGGCAAATTTGCTTTGGAGTACGCCCGTCTTGAACAAACACAGTTTGGAGTCCATTAGAACTGTTAGCAAATTTGAGTTTGAAGCCTTCAGCAACATCAGCAACTCCAGAGCTTTTGGAAAGATTGGTTCCAGCATCCGCTGGTTCACAGCTCTTGAACTACCAACCTCTGGGAGCGGGCAGAAGAAAACTGAAAGAGGATTTTACCCTGCTGGTGGCCAGTGCTGGTGACAGGATGCCAAGCCTTCATAGCTGGTCCTACAGCTTAGTTCATATATTGAAGAGAACAGACTTTGCCTCAAGCATCCCACTACTCAATGCAAGCCCACCCCAAACCCAGTCTTCAACAGCCCCATCCCTACCAGAGGCTGGCAGGTCCTTTCTTTCTTCATGCCACCACATATCCACATGGGCGTATCACAGACCATCCATTATTGCTGTTTTAAATATTCTGTTGGTGAGAAGATGCTTTATTTAAAAATTTTATGTCATTAGCTCTGTATTTCTGACAGTCTCAGCCTCTTGGGGGAATACAAAAAGGAATGCAGAGCCTCTGATGCTGTGGACATAACTATTATTTATCAACCTTGTACAAAAATAAGACAGTACCAGGAACACGATGGGCTGCTTAAATGACACCTGGGATGGCTGTACACTTGCCTGCTCACATCCAGCTGACATTTGATGCCATGTCACTGAAGGATACAGCATTTTCAACAGCCATGCACAATATCACAACTCCAGGTCTGGCCCCCCAACCTGGAAAGTGAAAAAAGGAGGCGGTTCTGCATGAGAATGAGATACTAATCAGCTAATAATTTCCAATTGCCAAAGGAAAGTGAATATCACTAGCTGTCATTATGTTGGGTTTGAAAGCCCTTCTTTAGTGTATAAAGCATGTTAAAATGACTTCATGATCCATCATGCCATATGGTTTCCATGGCATAAAAGAGGAATTATTGGCAATCACGAAGCACACAATGACCATCACTTAGCCCTGTCATTAGCTGCAGCACTTATTGAAGCAAACTGCGGCTGCAAACAAAGAACAGCTTGCTCTTATATTCAGTCTCCAGCGGTCAGCCACATCGCCCAGCAACCACCCATGGCATCTGACAGGAGGGCTCAGTTCCATCCCCAGCCACTTTGCTGCCTTTCCACCTTGCAGGAATAGTTGCACTGCTCACAGCCTGCTGCCCATCTGTATGATACCAGAGCAAACCTAAATGCACCCCAGCCCCTCGTGCTGGGGCAGAGCCAGCTTCTTCCTGCAAGGGAAGAAATCTGTGTCCTTCACTCTGCAGCCTCTCGGTGCTGCTTCTGTCAGACAGCCACACGCAGGGCACCCGAGCAGTCTGCATCCGTGCTCATGAAACAGCTGACACCGTGCCAAGCTTTGGAGCCTACTGTCTTCAGTAACACAGGGCCAAGTACCATCAATGACAGTGCTTCTTTTGGGATTGTGAATACAAACAACAACAACAGCAAAACAAAACAAACAAACAAAAAAAAAACACCCACATAACAGTGCAATGGGAAAGAAACAAAGGATAAACAAGAAGGAAAAAAAAAAAAAAGAAAGGTCAACATCTCCTGCAAAAAGCCTTCAGGCAACACAGGTCCCCTCTGCTTCCAACACCAGCTGTAAGCTGACATTCAGGAGGGCCAAGGCAGCAGAAGATTCCTCTACAAACAGCAGACAGCTTGAATAAATCACAGCTTCTACTGAACTGGGTGCAAGTAGAGCCAGCAAGCTGCCCCCCACCCAGACACAAAAGGCTGGGAGCTGAGCGCTGCTTTTACAGCTGAATAAACCAGTAATTCACCTTCTTAACTCAGGTTCTTGGTCCAAGGAGACTTCTTGCACTCCCTTTGTACAAGCACTGATGGCCAGGATGGCTGTTGGCTCCTTCAGGTTGGTGAAGGATGCTGAGGTCTCAGCAGAAGGAAAGCCACAGTGACCCAGGAATGAGGGACAGGATGGGAACACTGCTCCCACAGCCACAGCTTTGAGGCTGATTTAGTGATAAGCCTTGAAAGGAGAGCTAAGCCCTCAACTCATGGAACAGCCATGGACAAACCTGGCCCACCCTCCCATAAATTTGTGCTGCTGAGAAACCTAAGAGGAGTACTGCAAACATCTCAAAGTCAGCAGTGCTCTTCTATGCATTCTCAATGCAGCCTATTTTTCTTCTACTGCATCTTTTAACCATATTAAAATGTACTAGAAGGCTTTTATGGAGGAACTAGAGAAATTCTAAGTTCTGTCTTTTTCCATTACTGCAGCTCTAATGACTTCTCAGGAGTCAGCACCAAGCAGTCTAGTGCGCTTCTCCCTTACAAAGAAAGGGAACCCAAAGCCATCATTATGCAAATCAAAGAGGAAAAAGAGCATTTTACCTGCCTTAAGGAGAAATCAGCCTTACATAGCATGTCACGGAGGGTGAACCAGGAGAGGCAGCACCTTTACAGCCCTATGCTGCTTTGGGTCCCATTAAACAGGGGAGGGCTGCAGCTGGGACAAGCATGGGGATGTTGCTCAGGTGCTGAGACCAGGTGGCTGAAGTGGTAACACCTGGTCAGCTCAGCATCATGCTGGCAGGGATGAAACTTCTCTTTTGGATCTTGCAGTTGCAAAATGAAGGCATGACCGCAGATCAGTTGAAAAGTCTGCATCAAGTTTTCTCAACGTCCTTCCCCTCTTCTCTGCAAACCTCCAAAGGAAAATCCTCACATTTCCCAGCTGAAGCTCTATTTCTCTGTGCTAACAGTTTGTTTAATTAGGCACAGTGCCTATTGCTGCCCCACCCACGGCAGGAATTTGCTAATGGAGAATTTGCATGGAATCATTGAAAAGCTGGGCTGGAGGAGACCTCTGGAAGTCATCGCTTTGTGTCCTGGGAGCATGCAGAACCTGTAGGGGTGCTGGAAACAGACCCTCTGCTGGCACACAGTGATTTGTGCTTCCACAGAATCATTAAGGCTGGAAAAGATCTCTAAGATCATCAAGTCCAACCCCAACCCACCCCACCATGCCCACCAACCATGTCCTTCAAGTGCCATATCTCCACATTCCTTAAACACCCCCAGGGACAGTGACTCCCCCATCCCTTGGGCAGTCTGTACCAATGCACCACCACCCTTCCTAAGACAAAATTCTGAATATCCAACCTGAATCTTCCCTGGGGCAACTCGAGGCTGTTATCTGTGCCTGTAGAAGAGGACACCTGAATGTGTCCCATGGGTAGACGGGGTAGCACCAGGCTGCAGACATGGAAAAGAAAGGGGGCAGAGGCTGGAAGGGGGATTCACCCCCATGTCTGTGTCTGAGCCCATACAAGCGTTGCTGCAGAGCCCTTCAGCTGCAAAAAGGATGAAAGCTCTGAGACCTGCACCCGCTCTGCTGCCTGCTAGGGGCACTGCTAGGGATCTTCTTCTCTGCCTCTTGCACTGTTTCTGGGGTGTTTCTCCCCTCCAAATGTTAAAACTCAGACTTACAAAGATGTTCTGGCTCTGACTCTGAAGAGCTGGCCCAGGGACTTCAATGTGGAGGTACCAGAGGCAAGAGGAGGAAAATCAGTTCTTTCTGCAGGAGATGAAAACAAATCACCTTGTATTTGCTGCACTCTTCTGAGTGAATGAACTGGAGGGAAGAAGAGGCAGGGGGGAGGGCTGAGCAGCTGAGTGGTGCTGTTTGAATGCTGGATCCCAAAGGCAAAACATAAATGTAGGCTCTGCTTAGGGCTGTGGTTAGTGGCATGGTTGGGGTGGCTTGGGGTTGGACTTGGTAATCTTAGAGGTCTTTTTCCAACCTTAATGATACTATGATTCTATGAAATGCCTAGTGAGGAAGAACACACATGATCACTGGATGCAGCTGTGTTTTAACAGATTTCTCCCAAACATAATTTTTTGCACGGAGCTGACAGATTTGCTCTTCTTGTCAGACACAGGAAAAACAAAACAGCTCTGGGAGCAGCCCGAGCTCCAGGCATTGCTGCCCTCTGGCTCACATCACTGACCCCAGGAGCACCTCTGCTGTTTCAGCCTCAGTGGTGATGCCTGTGTGGTGCAGCAACACTGCCAATATGGTTTTGCTTTTTCATCAAAGAAGAATATCTATATTTCTAACTAATAACTTCAATTATCTCTTAGCATGTATGTACCAGGTGCCTGCCTGGAAGAGCTTGATGTGGGTTCTGCTCTTCCTCCTCCTCTCCCCTGCCTGAGATGCAGTCAGATACACTTTGGTTACGATGATTTTAATTTTGCTTCCATTCAAACCAGATGGAAACCCATCCCCAGGGGCTACTGGCAAGGGTAGAAATGGGATCTGCTAACAATTGCATGGCATTTCCCAGCTAGTGGTTCCCATTTGCAGCACAGCCAACAAGCTCAGTGCTCAGGATGCTGCCTGGGCTGGGCAGTTGCCACCTCAAGCCTGGCTATCTCCTCTCTCTTTCTGTTGTTAGTTTGTTTGTTGAATTTTCATCGGGTCTGAACTCCACGGATGAGCTGGGATTTTTGCTTCTTTGTGCTGGGGGGTTGTTTTCTTTCCATTTTTTTTTTAATTTTTTTTCAGATTTCATCTCTAGGATTCAGTGTTTTCCCAAATGACAGCTTGCCTGTACATCAAAAGAGATTTCTGATGTAAAAAATCTCCACTCCGCCACTCTGAATTTACGCTCTGTCTTTGGACTCAATACACCCAGACCAGTGAGCTCGTTCTAAACATCTTTCACCCCTTCCTCTTGCTGAGTGTGGGAAAGGGAAAGAGCAATCAAATATTTATTTAGAAACCACTGATCTAACACAGGCTCCTCTGGTTTACCACGGGCTCTCAAAGCCCTTCTAAATAAACTCCCAACCATTTTCTTACTTTCTTCTTTTCCCTTTTGTTTGGGAAAAAAAAAACCCCAACAAAACCACAGCTCTTTTACCGCTGGCACTTCCCAGGCTGTTTCTGACTGTTTACTCCCCCTATAAAGTTCCTCAGCAATGAGGGCATTATAAAACCTCTCTCCATCACTCCCCCAATCTCACCTTCCCTTCACTTGCAGATGCCTCTGAACAAACCATCCATCATGCAGTTAGAGGCTCTGGGTCGTTAAAACCCAGATCTGGGATTGGTGCTGTGGGAACTGAGAGCTTTCAACACCACTCCAGAACGGGTTTTTATGGGTAATTGATGGGAAGCCACAGACTGCTGGTGACAGCGTGGAGAGATTAAGCAGTTTAGTGCAGGGGAAGCCTGGCCAGTGCATCCAAGCTGCTTCAGTGGCCAATCTCGAAAGGAATAAATGATGCTCATAAACACATCGTTTTTCACCAAATCATTATGCACTTCCTCTCTCCTGTGTGGTCTGCACACAGAGCCTGATCCAACACCCACGGAACCCACGGGAGTCATTTGTGCCAAACTGGAATTTACAGCCAGAATTCCTTCTGAGTGTAGGGGTCTGGGGAGGAGCCCGGTGACAGGTAGACCTGCAAATGCAAACCTGCCATTGCAAAATGCCAGGTGTTCAGCTTAACCCTCAGTGTGCTTGACCATGGTGTTCCCTGGGCAGCCAAAGTCGTGCCTCCGTGCTCCAGCATTAGCTCAGAATTTGCTTCAGCCCCTTCTTAGTAGACATGGGAAAACAAAGCTGGAGGGATAGCTGTCCTCTTTTTTCAGGATACCCTACAGTAATGAACAGCTGCAGAATCAAATTCAAGACCATTTCAATGAAATTCTTACTGTATTTCTGACCATAGCCAGCAGGGCAGAGGACGTTTTCCTACATCCCTTTTTTCTAGGGCAATGCTGTTCTGCAGAAACAGAATACAATAGAAGGAAGGGATGTCATCCAAAGGACAGGCTTGAAAAGTGGGTCCAACAAGAATGGGTCCACAATAGAGTCCAACCTAATGAGGTTTCACAAGGCCATGTGAAATGTGTTGGGTTGGTGAAATCCCAGATTCAAGTGCAGAATGGGGGAAGAACTCACTGAGAGCAGCTCTGCAGAGAAGGGTGTTCTGGAGGGTGAAAAACTTGACATGAGCCTGACTCATCCATGTGTGGGGCTCATTGAGAACTTCCAGAAGTTGGGCCAAGAAAGAGGTTTAATAAACAAAGGTGACAAATTCAGTCTCTCCTATCCATTTTTGTCCTCTGATAAATATTGCCCTTGAATTTCATGGTATGCACTTCACCAGAAAGAAGCTAATGATCTAAGATGTAAACATTTTATTGCTCATCTCCAAAGCTTGAATGTAACTTTAACCCTTGCAAATCAAGCTTCAGCAGCTGTCAAGAAAGCTTTTATGGGCTCAAGGGCAAAGTGCTGGCCCCATTAAAGTCACTGGAACTTTAGTCATTACCTTGGGACATCTTGGGGGAAAAGAAATGAGGAAAGCATCAAGGACAGAAACATAGCTGTTGTTGGATTATCTCATCAGGTCATGATATCCAAGACACCCAACTTGCAGCTACATCAAGACATGACATCCAAACTAAGTTATTTGTCAGGCATTTTGTACTAACAAAAGGACAGTCCCAGAGGAAACAGATACTTTGAATAGAGGTGGGGGAGAGTTCAGGGGACACTTTAATTGGTCATGTCTCTTTTTTCCCAGCAATCAAAGAGACCACCTCTGGATGAAGGGGCTGTGCCACCAATCATGTCACCATGGAAAAGCTCTCCTTGCGTGGAAAAAGCTCTCCTTGGCCTTGGCCAAATGCCCCACCACTCAGTGGAGCCCCACAGGGTTCTGCTCTCACCCCTCCCCAGGCTTTCGAGGATTCTCAGCACGTTGGAGGTCTCAGCAGCTCACTGTGTGCACATCATTGCCAACCACGCTCCACCTTCCATTGTGTTACAAGAAAAGTCTGAGAGTGCGGGGGATGAAAAATGAGCACACATTAATTCATTCCCAATCATCATTAATAAAAGAAGGGGGGGTTGGAATGCCCTTGTATAATTTAAGCAACTGTTTGCTTAATGTCTCTGGTCATGACATGAAAGCATACGACTGATAATTCTTACTAGGGGCAGGATTATTTTTGACCTAGTGTATTTCCTGCTCATTGTGCAGTCTCTGAAGCACTGTGTCCTCCCCTGCACGTCTTATGTGGGTTCCTTGAAGAGAGGCAGCCCAAGCCATGATTGAGCAGCAATTTGTTTTTGTTTACTTGGCCAATTAAGGTCAAGTTAATGAAGCATCGGGTGGAAAATAGCAGCTCTTGTTATGTTGCCTCTGCAGCAATTACAGTTCTCTCAAAAAAAGGTTAAGGAATTAATTGCAGTGGTTCTTTACATATAAAAAATTAGCAGGGGGTCTGTCTGGTTTAAGGAACTGAGTGACCCCTCTGTTTCTGTGGGCAATGTTTAATGGCAGCGCAGAGGAGTAAGTTCACTCTTGATTCATTCAGGCTCTGCAGTGTTCGAGGGAGGATATGTGCTGGGAAAGCAGCAGCCCCCAATAAGGCAAATCTAACAGCACTGGAACAGTGATGGATGA